TAAATAAGAATTTAATAATAAAAAAATAATATATAAAATATAATTTAAATCTTTTAATAACTTACAAATTAGTTTTTCCTCCCTTTTGTTAAGATGATGTGTGATATGTTAACTGATCTTACATGCATTAAAACTTGAAAGAATAACAATAAATATATACTAAATTTAAATTTATGATTTAATTAATTAGGCAAAATTATTTTAATTCTTCGTTAATAAATTAATTCAATTATTAATAAAATGACCCTTTTAAAATCCTTTGATAAATAGTTTCATAAAATTCATTTTCTCTTCAAATAAATAAAAACTTTCTGAAATTTATAAAATCTATTCCACTTCAAAATATTTAAATTATGACAAGGACGACAAACATCTTAGAAGGAATGAAATCGTTAAGGCCCCCATTCGTTGGGGGCCTTACGGATCTCATTTTGTCTCGTGTGGTTTGACGCAGGGCCGGGACGAGAGGGGCCCCAAAAAATGAGAAATGGACCAACGATTAGCTCAAGTCCCATTTCATATCTTCATTTGGACAATGAATATTGATGTTATCTCCTCAATTCTGTTCTGTAATCAAAGATGATGCTATTCTGTATACTTTGAAAGTCATCATCTTTTGCAGACCTCTTAATTAATTAATTAAACATGCCACTTATTTCACATTTGCCACCTTTCTTCTTCTCTATCACTTCCTTCTGCAGGTCTTTGTGTCTGTTCTACCCATTCTTTAATGTAACACACTAAACAAAATATGAAGTATAAAATCTATCATGTATTTTTTTAATTCAATTTTTTATATATAAAGTTATTGTATTCACTGGAAGAAATGAAAACTTGTAACAAGTTTGTCTACATTAGTATATTTCTATATAGTTTGTCACTAAATATGTTACCTTTGTAGATAATTATTTGAATTCAAAACATTAAAACAAGATTATATGTTATGTAATGACATAGAAATATGTTACAAATTTACATACTTTGACAGATAATCTATCAAGTAGTAAAATTAGCATTGTGTATCAGATACATTCTCTTCTTCTTCTACATCTTCAGGAGGGATGCTTTTATGGTAGGGGATGTTTTTTTCTTTCCATTAAAATCAGTCACACCCAAACATTAAATATCATTTATTCTTCTCTTAATATTTACCACTCTGATAATTACCTGGGCATTGTTTAGTGAGTTGTGTGCTTCAGATCAAATGATGATGTCCTTGAGAAAAGTTTTATCATCATTAGTTTTAAAAATGACTTTAACTAGAAGGTCGTCTAGTTAAATAATTGCTTAAAGAGATCCAGTTTAGGATAAATATTTAAAAAAAAATTATATTTAATAATTTGTTTTTAAAGGCCAATTGTTCTGATTATATTATTTATTTATTTTAAAAATAGATAAAATTAGTCAACATCCGACCGGAAGACATCGTTGATGGAAATCCAAAATTAACTCTCGGATTAATTTGGACTATTATTTTACACTTTCAGGTAAGATTTGTTTTTAATTTAACCCAAAAGTCGGTTAACTACGGCATAATTACCATTAAAAGTCAGCTTAACATTTTACAGCGGTTAACCGAGTTTTGGTTCTCATTTCGTGGTTAAAATAATTTAAAATTAGTAAGCGCTGGGTTTATTGCGGGGAGGAAACAAAATTTTTGGTTCGTCCCTGACTAATTTTTAGTGAAAGAGCGTATTTAAAATTAAAATTACCCAGGAAATTCGAGTTTTGACCTCGTCATTTTCGTGAGATTCATTGAACTGATACGGACGAACAAACGGACGTATTATAAACAACAGAAAGGCAAACAAAACGCTAGCATTAGTTATTTATTTAAGACACTAAAAATGTTAAAATATATTATTATTATTTATGAGCTTTTTGGACGGAAAAATTGCCCAGAAAACTTTTAACTTTCTGTCATAATTTTCATAGATTTACCGACGTGCTGTTCTATGAACAAAGCAAACAAATCAAAATGTTAACATTATTTGTTTATTTAAGTTGCTAAAAATATTATTATTATTATTATTATCATTTTTGAAATTTTGGATCCCCTTAAAAAATTATCCAGAAAATTCCAAGTCTCTAACTCATAATTTTCTAGAGATTAGTTGAACTTGATACGGACGAACAAACGGACGGACCAAAAAAAAAAATAAATAAATAAAAGGCAAACAAAATATTAACATTGTTTATTTATGTAAATTGCTAAAAACATTAAAATAAATTATTGTTTATAACATTTTTACAGTCCAAAATTTATGAATGTTCATACAAAATAACTAGAGATAAATTACGAACAGAGTTTATGTTATTTCTAGAAACTTTTAGGCTTTAGACCTTTAAATTTTATTTAATTTTTAAGATAAATTATTATTTTTAAATTGTAAAACAATTAAAAAAATTCCCAATGATTCATTAGAGAAAGATCACCGAAAAAAGAATACGAATCTATAGGGTGGCCCAAAAGTCTGTTAACCATTTTAAAAGCTAAGTCGCATTTGTGTTTACATATTTTCTGTGGGAAAAAACATTTTTCTACCCCCCTCAGTTTATGATTCACGTTGATGAGTGTACCCGAATAGGCAGAAAAACAGAAAAGGTGGTCAACTAACTTTTGGACCACCCTGGGTGCGTTTTAAAGCCCGCGAAGCTTACGTTAATTTCGATCGACAGAAATTAATATATAATTAACATTTTAGGTAAGGGAGAGCCATAAATTTCCTTGTAAATTCGGAATTTTATAAATTATTGATCGTCATTTAAAAACTGGCCGCGTGTTAATGCTCTGGAGAATCGATCCCCAGACTGCTTCGACGTGTGTATTTTTTTTTACGTACTGTACGTACTTATATATTTACTTTCTATTTTTTTTAATATTATAAATAAATAAACAGGTAAAATAAAATATGCATTTACGAGTTTTTACGACGAAAAAAATAAAATAAAATGATTAAAAATGGAAAGCATATTTTGACTGTGGCTCCATCTGGCGTAAAAGAAAACCAACTATGTTTTTCATATACTTTTAAGTAATGAATTAATTTTTGTTCGTCATTAATTAATTTTGAATTTATTTAATAAATTAAGATCTAATTGAGTTCAATTTAATTAATATATAAAATTTTCTGCTAGAGTTATAATTGTAAAAAAAAGAAAAATAATAAGAGACGATTATGTAAGTTGATTAACACTTTATTTTCCAACCCTTCCTGTGTCTAGGAGTGACATTTAAGTGATATTTATTATCTGTTACGTAATTGAAAGTATCCTGCTTCCCTTCACCTGATATTTGGTATAATTATTTATTTTTTTTATATTTATTTGCTTGCAAATTAAAGTCGATTTTCCTTAAAAGATCGCACCCCAACCCCCCAAATAAGGTTTATTTTGCATTATTTGCAAGAGAAAAAAATTGTTGCATGTTTCACCTTCTTCCCTATCCAACTGGAACCGATCTTTATAAGCGTATGGGCGGTGTTTCAAACGAGTTACGGGGGTCATTAGGGTCATTCAAACGCTTCCTTTTCCCGTTTGCAAGGTCATTCGGCAATAAAATAAATAAGCAAATACTAAAAAGTTTATTCAATAACCGTACAAAACTGTCGTAACTTCTTCCATATTATTTATTGTAATCATTATATTTAAGTCTATAAATATGTATAATATCTCTTTCATAATCTTATTGTTCAATCTGAACGATTAGAGAAGGTGACTTTTTGTGTTTTCCGGCACTTCCTTTACTTTTTCCAAGTTATAAGGAAGAATTACGGACAATTAAATCGTGCACGGTTTTAAAATCCACGATTGTAACCCCCCGTAACTGGGATAAACATGACTCGTTACTACCATTAGTACCACTTGATTTCGAATGGATATGAATTGCTTACTTCGCCATTCTTTTCAGCTCTTCTCTACACCTGCTCGTGTACAGGTGCTGCTGAATTTGCACCTGCGAATTTTTAGCGCGTGCTCTTTTCTGTAGACGACAATAGTTTTGATTACTTTACGTCTTAAAGTAGATAAATTTATCGCTTTACTTCTTGTGAAATCGCACCAATAAAGGTTGAAACGTGGGCGAATTGTGTGGGGGACAATGATTCATATCGGTGTGGGAGCATCCCGCGGGCTAGCACTAGAAAAACATCTGTCTAATCTACAAATTCCCTTGGCATTCCACCCCTAATCCGAAATTATCTTATGAGTTTAACATTTTTTTATCTACTTTAAAAAGAAGAATTAATATGGTTTAGTGCATTTGTTCCAAATACGTTTCGTAGCATCGATCCCGTTTATTGCGCTATTGTCACTTCTTAATAAGTCGCACCCAAACATCGACGGGAAGTGGTATAATGGGGATTTAATATTATTTAGAATCTTAAGAGCGGGGGTAGTCTAACCACAGCCACCCACTAAAACTGGTTCCCGCAACGCCCACGCACCTGTTCTCGTTCTACCATACAAGGAGTTAAATGAGCCTGTCGCTTGTGACGTCACGAAAACGGTGCAATATTTACGTCTCGTACGGAGGGGGCACGGGGCACAATTTCGTCCGGTCGATCCAATGTCATCCAGATACCGTGCCCACTCGCGACCTTTATCACTGCTTAACCGTAATGAGTTCATTATCTTTACACCTTTTGATACGGCGCTCGTATCTTTTAGCCTTCGGATAAACTTTGTGTCTGCCTTTATACATTAATTATAAATTTTATAACTAAAATTAGACTCCAGTCATAAACTACCCGCGACTACACATATTTTCTCTTACTTTGACACGTGAAAAAGTGGAGTCTCGATTGTAACGTGTATTTTAACTCGTTCTCCACACGATATAACTAGTTTTGGGATGGATGATGTACGAATTCGCGTGTCTGCCTGCAAACAAACACACGGTTTAAAATCACAAGCGGAAGTTGATTGACGTTTTACACGTCGCATCGCACGGCGTCCAGACTAATTATGGGAGAAAACTACGATACGGCCACGCCAATTACTCGACTTAAACACCTCCAAACCGACTTTACGAATCCCTCCGTTTTTATCGTCATTAAAACCACCGAAAATCAATCTATATCAAATTTAAACTTTCGTTTTACGTCACGAGCATTCGACCGGTACAGTCAAGTTCAAAGTGTAGAAATTATCCAGACTATCTCCACCATAAGGAGATAAAGCGCTACACAAATAGAAGAATGTAGGAAAACAATGACTAATCATCCGATATCTCATATATCAGCGATGTGTCAAAAGTAGGTTGATTTATAAATTAAAAAAAAAGAAAATAAGTTACGACAAAACAAATTTGGCGGAACCCCGAACCACCCACGTGCTTATTGCATCATTATTTACTGTCTGGGACCTACATCCGATAGAATCTCTCGCACACAATTCAAATTTTAATGACTTATCTTCGAGTTCCGCTTATCGTTAACAGATTTATATAACAGTTTACAATAAATAGAAACGAAATGGCGTAAAAATCCATGGATTCTTTAGTAGTTTAAGTAGGAAAATGGCGCTCCCGTTTTGGAGGGAAGGTGCGCCTTATACGTGGATAAAATATAATTGGGCGCCGTAAGATTTCATATATTAAATTATAAAGAATTTAATAAATTTATTTAATATATAAATAATTATTTTAGGATGTAGGAAGGAGAGACCCAGACCGGTTTAAGGGCAATTTTTATTTTAGTTTTTCTCAGAGTTGTGATTCTTTGAATAGAACGTGTTTCATCACCAGTTTCACAATCTTAAAACACTGCATTCGACTTAGCCTACATTTTTTTCCTGTTTAAAAATTGTTTTTTTTTTATTTTATTTTTCGTCGGAAATATAATTTATTCCGTCCAAAAATTGATTTTGATTAATGCACTTTTTTTGGAACTACTTTAAATAAATTAATATTTAATCGTACAGAAAAATGCTTTTTAAATTATTCATTTGTCATGTCTTTAAGTAGATTTTTATATAAAATTCTATGATTATTTTTAATTAATGTATTGTGTTTTAGGAATTTTTGTAGCGGTCATTTAGATTTGGGCCATTTTATAATTAAGTTTATTTTAAGTAAAAATGCGATTTATGGGAGAAATGGGGGGGGGATTTATAAAGGAGCTGGTTTCTTGCCCCGTAGACAAAACATTATGGCTTCTGTCTGAATAATAGACTTAAAATTTGTAAGATGTCGAGGCAAACAACGTAGATTTGTGTTAGCCAAGTCGCGGCGCTCGGAGGGAAGCGAGAGGAATTACGAAACGTAACTGGCACTTATCTGTAGAGTTAACGAATAATATTACGTTGCGTATGTTTAAATGTTTTCTAAACAATTTGCCCCGGTACGGGTACGAATTAAGATGGCTTTTTCGCTTGTGTTATCCGCTTATTTGGTCGGATGCCAGCTGCATTGATGTATCTCTCATTGAAACATTGGTTGGCCATGACGTCAGATGCCGAACAGAAAACAAACGAGTCGTACCCGCAT